CGCATCCAATGCGCAGTGAGAATTATAATTCTAGTTTCGCGCGAGTGTAGGCCGCTGCGCGTAATCAATGCGACGAGGACGGCTTCACAAAGGTGGTGAAGAGGAAGAGGAAGCCCACCAGGCGTAACCTGTGTGGCACAGCACCGACAGGTTCGAACTTCTTGCTCCGTTCAGCAACACCGACGACGCTGCTGTACCTGTCGCGACTACATTACTCCACGAAGTCTGAGGAGGTAGTGGAGTACATCAGCCTGAAAGTCAAATACACCCTGAGGGTCGAGCTGTTGGGCTCCCGCGAACATCTGTGGGCCTTCATGAAGGAAGAGTTGGCCGAAGGGTGTCGTATATCGGCGATTCCGCGGCCGAATACCTGACACCAGATTGCGCCAGATTGTGCAATACGTGTACATTAGTTGATAGTTTATTTTATTGTCATATTATATTGTATTTATGTTAGTCCTTAAGGTATATATTATTTGGGTCATGTGGCCTGAAATAAACGTCTAAAAAAAATCTAAAAAAAGTTTATCTATTTTTTATTATTATGAATACAAAGATCGAATAAAAACAAAGGTATATTACTTCGACCTGACTAAACATAAACTACTGCTTGTTGCCTCAACGTGGCTAAGCTACATATCTATCACATCAATGACATTGGCAGTGCCACTCAGACCTTTGACACTGCCACTGTGCCCGTCAACTTAAGACAATAAGTTGACAAGTTTCACGTGCCTGTAATTCCACCGGCACCCTTACCTTTCCAAACCGGAACGCAGTAATGCTTGCGTCACTGCTTAGGTAAGGTTCTCTACTGCTACTAAAAGTTCAGGAATCTCTGGCATAAACCCTCTTTTTTTTCGGAGACGATCAAACATTGTTATACAATGTTTTCAGTTTCAGTGTCCGTATTACACGGAAGCTTTCAAAGAAATCTGTCTTAAGTTATTGTCTAGACAGTTACATCCATTAGTGTAAAAGGGCGATAATTTTGACGATAAACGAATTCCTCGCGCCTTGCAACGTGAAATAACGTATCGCACTATAAGGCCTATCGGCATAATCGGCCATCTTCGGATTTCTAAAGCGCCGTTTCCGTCACACGATCGACAACTGGACAAAATGTTACTCAGGTATGACAGAGATTTTTACCTAAAAGATGATTCGCATTAGACCGGGCCGCGCGCGGGTCGTGTCCAAGTCATCCGAGCCTCCTACGTGCCGCGCGTTCTTAAATTAGATTAGAGTCAGAGAGTGTTCACATTACAACGAGTCGAGCCTCGGACGTGCTCGGAAGCAGCTCGGGCGTCACTCGGCCGTGTCACGGACGCGGCAGTTTGTAATGTGAATCACTTTATATAACATGTACGCAGCATTTCCAACCCGAGCCTCGTACGTCACTCGGCTCACGCCCGGCACGGTGTAATGTGAACACTTCTTAAAGCTTTCGGCCCGGCGCGGCCTGTAAATAACTTTTTCATCGTGCTTGTTCGTAAGTTATAGTATAATAGTCCCGGCAGGGACGGTAATGATTTTTTTTAATTGCTACGCTCCAAAACAGCTGGCTCGGTCATTTGTAGCGCCTGAAGCAGTTAATTTTTTTTTATAACCGACTAAAAAAGGACCGATTTTGAATATTCTTTTTTGTTTGAATAGGTGCACTCTTGTGGAGGTCCCATTGTCACCAAGTTAGAATATGATGAGGGGATCTCTATGAAAATCGAACGAAATTCTCAAGTTTTATAGGCGTGTCCGTGTACTCACCAATTTCTCCGTCAATTCAAATTCAATTTCAAATATATTTATTTCTGACAAAAATCTGAACAAAAAAAATCTGAAAAGTTATAAACAAAACAACTTAAGATCTAGTGTTAGTATTAATTAATTTTATGTAATTTAAAAGGGCAATACAACTAAATGACGGTGTAGAGCTCAATCGATTTTGAAACATTCTTCTTTTGTTTCAAAGGGTGTACATCCTTTTTTTATCGTATCGCATCGTATTTCAAAAAGTATTCTTGAGGTGGTCCATGATGTTGTTGCGGGTTCGTTTCTGCTATCACAATTTACTAATTATTTTCCGCAAATAAAAATCGATTTTTCACTTGACACAATACATGTAATCTACAAATCACCGTCGTCATGACAACCAGAAAAGAAAACACAAAATGTACAAAGGGGTCTGTAACAGTCTCATTGTCACCAAGAAGTCAGTATCTGATAAGAGGATAGAATCCCATGGAAATCGAAAAAAGCCGAAATGCAAAGTTTTAAGGTCGGTTTTTTTCTATGAAAAGATACAATTTTATTATAAACAATTAATATAATTTAAACCATTTATTTCCAAACATATAAGAAAAAAAAATTCCAGAAATAAAAAAGAAAAAGTTTTTTTACACAATTTACAATATTATTTAACGTAATAATAGTAATAATTATAATTATATTTAAAAAATAAATCAAAATAAAAAGAATTAAATCATAATTATATGTATAAGAATAAGTAAGTAAATGACGGATACCAGCTCAGGAAAATGTTGAAATCAGTTTGTAATGATTTCAACCCTGATTTTCAGCCCGACCCGGTCATGGCAGCCCTACACACAAATCACAAACAAACATCAATTGAAGACAAAATGATTGATGAAAAAATTAATATTAATAATAATGACATGAATTAAATGAAAATAATATTAATAACGAATATTTGTAAATAATAATTATAACAAAAAATAATTTTATTCTATACAATTATTCTACATAATATATTCTACATATAGACATCGCAATGACCGTAGGTTTTTACTTTTATATTGCTTTTCATGTACTCACTTTTTGATCTACCAGCATATTCCTCTTTAAATGTATTTTCAGGCTTGGAAGGGATCTAAATTAATTCAAAAGTCGTCTTTATTTATTTGTCATTTTTATAAGATATCTGGCATACATAAATTTAAAATAATTTGTTTTGTCGTTCATACGTGGTCAAATAAAAAGCTGACGCTTGAAAAAATTATTTGCATTCAATTTGTTCCATTTACTTAAATTTTTGTTTACTTTATAGTTTGTAAATGTAATATGAATAAACTATAACATTCTTCATTTTTGAGTCTTATTTAATTTTATAATTTAAATTTATGACTTGATGAAGAAAATTATTAGAGATTAGTGCCGCGGCTCGCGCTGTGCAGAGCATAGCATGTATAGAGCATCGACTGTACAGTATACCGCAAAAATCGAACTTTACATCCATTTGTAAATTCGTAATATGTCCCATAAAATTAATTAGCAATGAAGATGGTTTGTGAGTGAAAAATAAATATTATTGTAATTCCTGCTAACGAGGAATATGAAATACTGTTTTCATTTGTTTACGTTTAAAAACAAAATGTTGATTTGTCTTCATTTCCTAAATTCTACACCGGGGAAATCTTACACGGAACCTTTTAATCTAGCGGCCACAATTTTTTTTAATAACAAGAATATTTTTTATTTTTTTAATTAAAAGTAACCCCGCTTAGTTACAAATATATATAGCGAAGCGCGCCGGCGCAATTATCAGAGGCAATAAATTACTTGCGGGTCCGTTTCGGCATTAACGGCGTACAACCGAACATTCTACTAATTAATTCTTCACCGTGTACCAAATCTGATTTAGATCCAACTCTGAGCACTTTTCGACCTAGGCAATTTTACTATGACCAAATTGAAGACGTCGTTATAAAGAACGTCCTAATAAAGAAAAGCCAGGTAAATTGTAACCTTATCCGATATGTGAGAGTGTACGAAAGCATTGAAGACGTAGCAAGTGGAAGGCTCTGGTTTCTGCCTATTTTTTTAAATAAATAATAGACACATTCTTGGCCACAATCTCACTTGATGTTAAGCGACGATGTGACCGACGTCGGAACGCGTTCGCCTAATAAATGCCTATTCACTCTAGCCTTGGGTAGTCCCAAAATTTTACTTTTCGGGAAACACAGATATAGAGTATTCCATTTCTTTGCCGTATGCATCAGAAAGGAGGAAACAAAGCGCTTAGTGCGAATGTGTGGAATATCAACGACATAAGATGGAGTGCTCCGGACCTTCTAGTCAACCGATTGAAGAACGGTGAGGGTGGAACTAAATTGAAAAGTTCCTACGCACACTCCCCGAAATGTATCCGATAGAAAACCGGTAGGCTACTTTTCCGCGATGGTCTCTTTGCTTTTCGTTCCACCGAGTCCAAGGCAGCTAACTGGTAATGGGCAGAGCACTTGGTAAATTTCAAATTAAATTCTGTACATATATTCCCAGAAACTGGGTGCGAGCCCGAATGCGAACCCGCGGTCTCTGCTAAAGAAGCAGTTGTCAAACGATTACGGTACCACGGCGTTTTGTATGTATATGTATGTATGAATTATTACACATGGTATTCCTTTTAAACGTAAAACATTTAAAAGAAAGCCGCGCTATGTGGTCATATGTACAGGAAGACTGCAACACTCTCCCTTTGGATATAATATATACTTATTCTTTGTTGGAAGCAGCCGTCAGCCTTCTCATCGGAGACAGCAAAGAGATGAACTGGACGCTCTAAGCCGTAACCGTGAAGATGGATTTAAACTATCCAGTGCGTGGAATCTGGTGCTTAGGACTTACAATAATAATAATAAAAACTAAAAATTCTTCGACTTCAGTTTCGCGTGTGGATACAATGAGTGTCATCTGCCGCTGGCCAATACATGAACACGGAGCGTGAAACCGCTCCAAAATATCGGGAAAATAATCAGAACTCATACCGTGATAAGAAAATAAGAAACCTGGAATTAGTGATAATTATTTAGTGTAAAAACCACGAAAGCCCTAAAATCTATTGAGCTTCCATAAAGCTCGTTTGTGTCACCTAATACACTGAGTTCTTGTCTGGGTCTGGCTACGGGACAAAGACTAGCTAGTCGCCTCAGGTATCGTGCCAGGCAACTACCGTATTACAATAATGATTTAAAGAATCTCACCTGAATGGGACACCAGCATACAGCAAACACGACGACGACCACCACGACCATTCTGGTCACCTTCTTCCTTCCCCTCCGGCTCTCCGCAGACACCCTCCCTCCGGGAGCACTTCTCCACAATCTAGTGAGCATACACATGTACAAAACACTTATCAACGCCAATGGAATCACATAAGACGACAGGAAGAACGACATCTGGAACCCTAACTTGCTATATCCCTGTTCCTCCAAAAAAACACACGAAGAATGGTTTCTATGGAAGTATGAGTATTCTCTTTCTCCGTGACAGATTCCAACTGGAATTGCCGTCGTCAATATAACGACCCATATACAGGCTATTGCTAGTAGAGCATTCTTTTCTGTCCTTATTGACATGGAAGCTATAGGATGTACCACAGCCATGAATCTATCCAAGGACATCAGGACTAGTGTATAGACGGAAGCATGTGCTGTAACAACGATAAAGTATTGGACGACCTTGCACCACCAATCGCCAAAGGGCCATCTTGGCATGACATAGTCCGTTGCTGTGAAGGGCACGCAGAATATAACGAAAAGTAAATCAGCTACGGCTAAATTGATTATCAGAAGGTTCGTCGTTGATCTCATGCCAGGGTTAGCAGCAACAACTAGGACTACCAAAGCATTTCCAACTAGACCGACTATTCCGATAAATCCGAAGAAGATTGGTACAACTTTTGACACAACTTTTTCCAGCAGTTCTGAACTGTCGTAGTCCGAATAGTTGCATTGTAGATAGAAATCTTCGGTGGTCAGGTTGAGGCATATGTTGTAGAATTCCTCTTCTGTAGACTCCATTTTGATGGTCAATGGCTCATTTTAAGGTCTACCTGTAACAATCAAAAGATTATATTAATGGTATTCAAAAGTAAAGCGTTCTTAGGTAAGTACTGAATATTTAGTCTTCAAACTAAAAAGTCTAGTGTTATTTAATGTTTGTTTTTTTAGTTCTCAAGAATCCGGAAAAGATGGACGACATCACCACATCGACAACAATACTCTTAAATTATGAGAAGGTCTATCATATAACCAATGGTAAATTTACTTATTTTTTCACATCAAATGCCGTTTCTTCGTATAACTAAGTTATAAAAGGCCTATTTCAAAAAAAGTACTAATATTGTTATAAAATACCTGTAGATTGTAATCAAGTCTACAGCGAAACCAATTATACGTCGTTATTTGCAAATCAAAGCATTTTATTACATAGACTGGCTCCCGTTATTCTTGGAACTAAATGAACCCATTTGCATCTGCATAATTTATGAAAACACCACCGTCTCTTTTGGGAAGTATTATATTTGTGATTCTATTCAGTTTTAGTTTTTTCTACGTATTTAGAAGACTTATTCAGGTTATTACGTGTTTAAAATTTTATTAAACAGGTTCTAAAGTACTTTATTATAGATAGGATATCGTTGCGTCACACGCCGCGGTCCGTACGTGTAAATAAATAAATAGATTTTATCATATTATTAGGGGTTAAAGTATGAAATTGCCGTTTTATTGCAATAGGTTCT